TCTTTCCCTTGATCCCTCCTCTTCAGTTTTAATGATGGCTTGTATAGATGTGAAAACAAACTATTTCCCATCACCCGGCTCAGGAATCAATGTCCTGTCAATGTTGTCCCTGTCTGTCATGGAAGAGAGAGCGTTCTTTTTATTTTTTATTAGGCAGGACTGCTACTTTCAGCCTGTTCATGATAGCTCATTATCTTATACAAGTGCAATTAACTTGTCAAAAGGGAGGCTGAAACTGAATGTCTGTTTTGGGTAATGTAGGGGAGATAGGGATGTGATCTGACATACGAGTTCCAGATGTTGTATTGTGGTTTCTTGAGCTGCACGCAAAGGTTGTTGCATCTGTAGCAACTCATGTTCGCTGTACAGTGTGAAGGGAGACAGAGCAAATAACAATAAAGAAACATGCAACTAGGAGCCTCTCTTTCTTCACCCCTCCACTTTCCTCTACATCATACCTTCTTCCCCTGCTGCTTTTTCTTGCTTTTATCTGGGATGAGAGTTGTTAGATTATTTGATTAAAGGCTAGTCATCAAGGAGCAATGACAACTGGAGGTGCCTAACCAGCGAAAATGGAGTCCAGTGCATCGTTTCCTTCTGAGACAATCACGAGAGGGTGGTCAGACTGTTGTCTTTGGTGTGAACCCACCAAGCAGAGTCAACCAAAGTCAACTCTCCCCAGAATGCTGTGCAAGCTGAAGAGGACTTATTGTAGAACTTATTATGGGATGCAGGGGGAAGAGGAACAAGAACCTAGACAGATAGCCCCAATTTGTAATTAGCCCTGTTGATTTGTGATGATCCAAGTTTGACAGAGAGGATTTAAAAAGAGAGGGATTCCCACACTTAATCTGCTTGAATGTCACCTTTGCCTCGGGCAGTTATGAGTACTAACAGCAGAAAAATATATGCATGGCTTACTCTAATTGCCTTGCAATTGCCTAGCCTCCATGAATGGTGAGGGTTGGTGAATGTGCTGCAGAGATACTCGATTTCACAAAACCAGCTTGAGTACAGCTGGGCTGCTCACTGTTAAACCAGGTGCAGCGGTGCCCAGCGCACGAGCCGGGAAGAGGTGGGAGAGGTTGTCAGGCAGTAAAGAGAAGTAGGAAGCAGTCACAGCATGCTGCTGTGCTGGCTTTCTGATGTTTGGCTATCATTTGCTGCTTGACCTCTTCTGGGCAAAGGGTAGGATGCTGCTCTTGCCACTGTGTCCACAGTATAAAGTGGCCTGTACGCTGCTTTGAAGTCACCTATTTGAAGTACGTGCAGGGGGAATGCCTGCTGCGGATCTAACCAATAAAAGACTAGACAGCAAACTGGAAAGAGTAGTCACCACATGTATTTGTAAAACTTGATATTTATAAAAATCCTTAAATATACATTAAAATATTTTAAAGAAGCAAACAGCATAATAAGTATTTCTAGGCACTACTGCAGATCATCTCTGCTATGTGAACCAGCTGTATTTGTGTACTCAATAGCAGTTCATCCAGTATTTCTCAGTGATGGGGGAGCCATTGATATGAGAAGTAGAACTAGTTAAGAAGTGTCATGTGAGCAATTACACCATGGTTAAAACTGATTTCAAAAGGAAAGTTTGTCTGGTTTTTTTTTTCTGTATTCCCTCTAGAATGTTCCTAGCTGAAAAAATGTGATCTTATTTATTTGACTGCCGTTTCTCATTAAAAAAAAAAAAAAAAAAAAAAAGCCAGACACTTTCAGGGGGAACAAAGTGTTAAGTTTCTCTTGACTTTTTTTCAGATGGAAAAATCTTACTGTTCTGCAGTGAGGTCTTTTGAGAAAATGATACCTGGTCTCAGAAAGAATGTTCTCACATCATAAATTGTATAGTCCTACATATCAGTGTTAGTGGAGAATCATCGCTTAAGTGAATGAAACATAAATAGACAAAGAGATATGAGGGTGAATATATGAAGCCTGTATAAATTAACACAGTGCCTGGTATTCTCTGCTGAATAACGTAGTATCAGAAGTGTATTTTAGCCAATATTCTGACCTCTTTTGTGGGCCAGGTGCGTATGCACTGCTCTGTCTTGCAGTTCGCAGTATGTATGGCGTGCTTTTCTGCCTGCATCAGCAGTCTGCATAGCCAGCTCCATCCTGGGGTTAGCAATGGAGAAAAACAGCTTGTTGGGGTCCATGTCAAATGCTTGTAGTCCCAGTCTCAGAGCAAATCCCAGCCCAGATATAGCAACTTTCCAGTTGAGGAATAAAGCAAATGTATGACATGGTATTTAGATAGTAAAGGGTATTTAAGAAGAGCTATAAGAAGGATGATTATTGACTTTTGATTATGGTGGTAAAAAAGCAGAAGCAAGTGCATTAGTGATTAAGCTTTGAGGCACAAACTGCAAGTGGTTATTCTTTAGGGTGCCTCAAATCTTGTGTGTTGATTTAGATCCTGAAGGCTCTGTGCACAAAGGTTTTGGGCACCGCTTGCTCCAGCTGGAGGCATTGGCAGCTGGCGGTGCTCTTGGAAAATTGCCATAGAAAATTACAGGCTGTTTTTAAAACCTGCTCTTTGGGTGTGCATTCTTTGATCCACTGAGGTCATGGTGTACCATTTAACAGCACAAAATTGCTTTATGTCAAATAAAGTAATTTCTAGATATTTTCTTTACTGTTTGCAGCAGTGTTTTATTTTAGCTTTAGACTATCACAACCACTGCTGTCCTGTGTCTTAGGGCAGTGGTTTTCCACCTTTTAAATGTGTGGCCTTCTGCATAATGATTTTAAGCCTGCTGTTTACAGTTTTGTTTTTCCTACTTGTCTCTGGCAGGTTCTTTAAAAACTGTGCACAGAATGCCCAGGGTCCATGTCCCTTGGGTTGAAAAGCACTGCTTTAGCCATCACAGATACAGCAGTGCTACTCCATAACATGGCTGGGCAGACAGTGCACATTTCTCCTTGTATAGGGGGACTCTTAGTTGAAAATACCTTTGCTGCTCAGTGCACCAGTTAGTCACCATGCCTTTTACCTCAGGGAAGGGAGAGAGCGTCTTTGGAGCAATGTCATTGTATCTGATCCGTTACAGGTTTTGGTTAGAATTGCCCCTATATAGCACCTTTCCCATTCTAAACCACTGGACTCGGCTTGGACAAGGTGCATTACACCTAATATTTCCTCTGCTAACAAGGTTCCTTTAATAGCACAAAGTGATCTAGCATCATAATTGTTTCTGTTTTCTCCCTTGTGATTAGATGTGTTATCAAAGATACCTGATAGGTGGAGCTGTAGAGTTCTTATTTTTAGTATTTTAAAGGTATGACAATAAAAATTGTCCGTTTCCTGTGAACAGGAGGTTTCCGATGCCTTGGAATTGCTGAGAAAGATGCAGCTTTGGGAATGTGTGGAGAGGAGTATTTCTTTAATAAGGAAATGAAGGAATGCCAAGCGTGTTTAAAATGTGAAGATGGAATGGTGGCCATGCCTTGTTCCACTGTCAGTGATACGGTTTGTTCAGCAACCAGTGAAAACAAGCTCTCAGAGTCTTGGGCTGCAGACATCATTCTACCCTCTGTAAAGTCTGGCATCTCTCAGGTCTACTCTGGCTTGAACTTGAAGATAAAGGCAAAGCTTCCCTGTGAAATCCTATCCATTGAAGATAACAGCCTGGTATTCAGGCAACATGGTCTGTTGTGGACTGACCTAAATTTTGCAGTAAAGCACAACTGCAGGAATTTTTTGCAACTTTCCTTAAAGCTAAACGGCAGTGAGGAAGGCTATGAACTGAGCGGTGTTCGCATTGAACAGCCAGAAGGAAAGTATTTCCAGAGCACTAGTTTAAGCAGTGCTGCTGAAGTGGAGCCCAGCCAAACTCTTTCTGTGTATTTGAGGAGCCCCAATCAATTCTGCAATCAAAGTAAAGACTTAAATATTTATGATCTTAATACCCCGCTCAGTTTGTTTTGGTTGTCCCATGACACAGGTGCTGTAGCACTCAGTGCACAGATGTCAACAACAATGCATTACCAAACCAACTATCGACCTACCTTTAAAATAATTTCTGTTTCTGACCCTTACATGCTAAGTTTATCTCATGATGGCAGGGCTATAAAGTTCACCGAAACCGGTGTTGTCAAATTTGTGTTCCACCAAGCATTGTATTCCATGGGTCATACGTGTGTCCGGGAGGGCTTCTCCTTAATTTCTTATATCAATAGGAATGGTACCAACAGAGAATTAATGAATGTATTTAAATCTGGGGTAAATTACAGAGACACATCTATATCTGCTTCTGGGGCCACAAAAGTTGGTGCTGGAGATCTGATTAGTTTTGAGATACTTTCTCCTGCACAGTGTAATGTTCGGTATTTTGGAGATAGTTCTGGAATTAGTATGTTTAGCCTCATCTGGATTCCTTCAGCGGTTTCGAGTGCCATATCAGCCACAGTTTCTGTTACAGGTCTGCCTACTGGAGCTGTGAGAAACAAATTGCTGGATTTCACCCAGGTCTCATCCAATGAGAAACAGATACAGCTGGTTTCTTCTGGACAGCTTGCTCAGAAGTATTTCATTTTTACTGAAAAGGGAGTTGCCAGTCTTGCATTTAACTTAAAGCTAATCCACTCATGCAATGTGCTCAAAATGACTCTCAATCAGTTGACCATGGATCACATGCAACCCACAGCAATTGCTCAGCAGATTGGAGGTCAGATGCCAGAGGGAAGCATATGGACCAGTGTGTCCCTCCGTGCATCTTTTGAAGTACATAACGGAACACTGATATCAGTTTCTCTTGACTGTGTGCGTGGAAGGATCAATCAGATCACTCATGAACATGGAACCAGTATATCTATTTTATGGATTTCATCTTAATTTCTGTACAGTGAAGTTAGCACAGAATTGGGGTTTAAATTGCATTTGGATTCTACTCTGATTCTGTACGTATTTGACACCTTATACTGTGTTGACATGAGCAGATTGTCTCACTAAAATGCTCTCAATTTTAGGAATATTTAAATATAATCTTAATTGAATGATCAGTATTTAAAGAAAAGAGAGCTTTCAGTGTTCCAAGATTTTACTTCTGTTAACATCTTCAGGCAGGGAATTCAGATCAAACCCTCTTATTTTTAATAAAGAAGTCTCTTAAAATTGGTTATTTCTGGACCACAAAAAATTGCCAGTGAGGGTAAATACATACCTTTTAGTACTGCAACTGAAAGCAGCACAGCCAAATAATGGAAACCTGCTTTCAGTTTCTTCACTGCAACAGGCTAATAACAAGACCAAATGCACTTTAAGGCTAATTTGTCTACATCTTATAAAATGTTGTGCTTTCTATAAATGGAGAAAATATGCCTCAAACTAGAGGTGATAACATGGTAACACTGGAGTATACATATGTAATATTATAGGAATGGACCTGGGTCAAAAATAGAACATTGTTTTTACAACAAAAACATTGGAATTAATGACCGTTCTAATTTCATTTGGAAATAATATCTGCATTTAAGTAATTTGGGAAAGCTTTTTCCCATCTTTAGTTTTGCCAGTGAAAAGTTGCAGGATGAGAAGGAAGGAAGCCTATTCTAAAAAGTAAGAGTATATAGGAGAAAAGAAAGGGTATTAAAAGAATGTCTTGAAAATGAGACTTTTGGAAATTAAACAAATTTTTATTCTATTTCTTATAAATGACAAAATATTTTTCTGACCAAAAAGGAACACGGAAGCATATTTATTTTGCTGAACAGGTACTTGATTTAAAAAGTGGGGTTTTTTTTTGTTAAATCACTGAGTTAATTCAAAGAAATGGTGTATTCAGTGACACTGATTTTTGTCTTCTTCCAGCTCTTCCATCAAACTATTCTTTCTTTTTCTAATCTATGTAGAGTGTTTTCTCTCATTTTCTCCTTTCTCCTCCACAAATGGTGCTTCACTCTCCTTTCGCATTTCTTTTGTTAGGAGTAAATGGCATGCTCTGTCATGTAGCTCAAGTCTTTCCAGCCTTCTTTTACCATCCCTACTAAAGAATAGATGTATGTATGTCACACACATAATTATAGAAGAGGGACATGAATAATGCACTTGCAGGCTGCCTTACATCAACCTTACTGAAAGAAGGAATATTATGCATGATACGACTTTAGTGTAGGTGTCTGCCTGAGTATGTATATCTAGAATATATGTACTTTCCTGTGCTCTTCACCTGTTTTGGAGTTTGTCATACTGTTTTTGCTGTATAGTCTCCTATAATTTTCTGTAAAAGAATGAACCCAAGTGCAAGACTTCTATCTGGTGGTTCTGTTTTTACTTGTAACTTTATAACCGTCTCCTTAACACCTGCAGTTATCTTTCCATAATCTTTTTCTTCAAAGATGCAGGCTTTGGACAAATTACTCTCCTGTAATAGAGAACAGTAGTTTTTCTTGCTTTCAGCTGTGAAGTCTAAGCAGTCCATCACAAGATACCTCACTGGGCATTGTGTTGAAGCCAGCATAAGTATGCAAACCACAGTAAGTTCAATCCTGGTGTCCCTGAACTCTGTGACAGAGTCTCAGTGCCTGTGTGTAGCCAGGCTCTCATTCGTTCTCGCAAGGTCATAAGGAAGGATGAATTAAAGCTAATATTAAAGGTGTTAAACATTTGCAAAATACTGTTATTGTTACAGAAGATATTTTGTAGTGGTAGAGAAAGACTTCTGGAATGAGAGCGTGTGTATCTATTATATACAGAAGAGCTGCCTTACTGCAGTTTTTCTGGGTGCTTCTCTCTGGAAGTCTACTGAGGCTGAACAAAGATGGAATGCCACCAGAGTTAAAGTTTTCCGATATATCCATCTGCTTTCTGTAGAAGGATGCACGTGATGTAAGAGGAACTCTGCAGAGAGCAGACCTGGGTATTTCTAAGGTAAGACTTCAGGGGAAGACAATGTTAGAGAAGGCTCGAAATGACAGGCTTACGGTTTTGTTTTAGAGGAAGTTAAGTCACTTTCTCACAGACATAACACCTTATTTTCCTTTGCTGTTTTGCGCTATGCCGTTGTGTTAAAGGCTGCCACTCCCCGGTATAATGACAACTTAAGAGTCATTCTAGATTTAAACCTGTGTAGCAGGTATCAGAATCTGATGTTAGACATAATCTGGTACATCTTTAGCAAAGTGGAGATGTTACTTGAATATAATAAGCATTTGCCTATATATAGCATATAGCAAATCTAATGGCATAATTTGTATGAGTATGTTTTATTTGAGTGAGATTGTGATATCAGTGGAATTACTTGAATATGGAAGAGACTGATGCTCAAATCCTGTATTCTGCACATGTTGGTGGTACTTACATTTAAATGCACCATTATTAAAAGATGCAGAAACTACTGGGGAAGTACAAGTGAACATTATTACAGCTAAGAGAAGTTTCAGAGTATGAATTCTTCAATCATAAATCTTCTCAGAGGATTCTGGGGGGAGTGCCCATAATTGCCCTTAAATTCAGAGTAGATTTTTAGATGCACAGTGGCAGCCATGCAGTATTTTGCATCCATCTGGTGGTGATAATGCATCTAATACTGTTTTGCTAATGTCATCTGTGATAAGGTACTCATGTGATGGAAAAAAAGTCTTATTAAATATGTAGTATTAATTGCAACTTACAGCAAGCTTAGCCTTATTTCAAGCAAGAAAAGGCTGATCATTTGAGCCTCTTTTGCATCTCTCCCTTTTGGAAAAAAAAAGCCTGAATCCATAGTTCAGGCTACTCGCTGACCTTGGTTATAGTAACATGAATTTGGAGTGAGTGTGTTGGAATCAGTGTGGATTTGTGATAGCCTAATTAATGGCATAGTATATAGCCTTTGCATCTATGAAAACAATATATATTGCCTCATACCGTGCAACATTAAGTGGTGCACTATGATCCAAAATAAGATAATGTTCAAAAGGAATCAGACAATATACAATGAATGCTAATTTTATGGCACTTACCCATTTGCTGTAATAAATGCATGTTTTATTGACAGGTATATCTTATTAATTATATTTACAACTTTTGAACTTTTTTATTCATTTTTTCGTATGGTTTCTTTCTATTAGTAGCACAATATAACACTGTGAAGTACAGAATTAATTTTAAAACTTTTCTTTTGCATCTTTTGATACCACGTTTATGAATATCGTTAAAATAGCTGGAGACAGTCTCTCCAATCCTTTCTGCCAGAGAGTGTTTCCAATGGAGGTATTTATAAAGTAATAGAGTAAGTATGAGGCTGGCAGAATCTAGCTGTACAGAAAGAGTTTAAGTTAATACATCCAGGAAGGCAGGTGGTTATTTCACTTACGTTATGCAGATAATGGGCAACAGATTGTTATAGAATGGAGGAAAACAATTTAGGTTGTATAGTCCTGCTCACACAAGAGGAAAAGGGATTTGGCTTACAAAAACCTGCATTGTTTTGTATTGTGAAACTTTTTGCAAGTTCAAAGATTTTACCTGAATATATTTTATTACCTGTACAAATTTTTTATGCTTTCTGTGAAGTCAAAACTGGGCAGAGTATGTTAAGTCTATTTGAATATTCCTCTGTTCTGTGGTCTCTGCAGATTGTAGTACACTGTGAAAACTACACTACTTTCAAGTGATGCTTTTTTATGAAATATCCTACTTTGAAATATTACCTTGTTTTAAAAATACTGTTTAGACACTTGCCTCTGTTAATACTATATTGTAATGCGTTTTAAGAGAACTTTACTGAAATAAACAAAACAATAAGGCTTCACTGGTGTTTTTGTTCTGTTCTGAGGAAGACTAATCGCAGCTATTGCGA